GGGGGGGGGGGGGAGCTGAGGATATTTACGTCGTGCATCATACAGAAGCGTCATCGTGACTGACAATACACGATAGAGCGACGGTGTATCGCTATTTAGACTATTGCACATGTATGTATTTGTGTGTTTGTCGATTAAAGATCGCGTCCGCGGATTATTATGGAACGGGGGCGAAAAATTGTATTCGGCGCGTGTGTATGTGTGTACATGTACGTGTGTATGTATATATGTACATATGTGTGTGTTGCAAAGTACTTTGAGTTTGAAGAGAAAGAAAAGAGTGAAGTGAAGAGATAAGAATTAATTTTAAGTAGCCCAAAGATTTATTCGATACTCTCACTAAAGTTAGCGCAAAAACATTATCATTGGCGAAATCGATCGCAGAAACGGGAAAGGAAAAAGGAAGTACGACTTTTTTTCGCGTTTGCCGTGACAATAAAAGTCGTGACTCCTGTAAAGTCTCCGATGAGCGCACGTTCACATTCACGTGTGATCGCATACCTACACACATGCATACGTTCCCTTTCTCTCTCACTCACTCGCTTCATTTCTTTCTCTCTACCAGTCTCTCCCTCTCTTTCGCTCGTACGTTCTCCCTCTTTCCCTCTCTCTCTCTCTCTCTCTTTCTTTTTAATAAAATTGTCTATACTTTTTTTGTCCCGTTCGTCTTTCTTTCCTATGTATTTTTCTGCTCGCTTATCTCCCATTGGAAAAATGGAATGTTCTGCACTCGGAGTTCGACGGTGACAGCAACCGGCAATCATACGCATAAACATATTTTACATTTACTTTATATATTTATACGTACTCTTTCGTCTTGCATCTAATTACTTAAGCAACTTAATATCCGTAATCTATATATGCACTCCGACAATGTGTATAAACTATGTACAAAACAACGACAGAATAGACTTAACGAGCAAAAACTTTCCTTTGAAAATGGAGGTTGGAGGACGGAGCGAGGTGGTCGCATACGAGTTGTGTCTCGCTCCGTCTTCTCGCTTCCCCCGATTTGCAGGAATCGATTCGTAGCAATTATCTCGTTTTACTTGACGATCTGAGAAACTCGACGATAATGACGACGATGACAATAATGGTAAAAATGTAATAATTAATAAAAATGACGACTTCAATAATGTATTGTAGAAAGTAATGTCAAATAATAATAGTAACAAGAGTATGATAATAAATGAACTCGCACTATCAGATATACACAATCTTCGCGTGAATTCTCGCGATCTCGTATGCATCCTCGTACGATCAGCTTGACGAGGGAAATAAATTCACGATCCTCGCGAGAGGTAAACACGCGTTGTCCTAAGGTAGAACGAAATTGAAAAAAAGAACGCGATACTTACTCGCTATACCTATAATATTACCGATAATAATAATTAGTGTTCTTTGGTAACACAATGATGCGTCCGGAGACCACGAATACGGTTGTAACGTATTGTCCGATCGTGACAAGATGGTCCCGAAATTATACTCCCGACTCACTAACGCTTCTTCGCCTCCGAGACACGAGCCCGGCCTGACTACATTACAAACGCGTTGTACACAGTTGTCGCTAATCAATCAATTAATCGATCGATTAATTAATTAATTAACCTCTTCCACCTCCTCCGCGACGAGGAGTCCCTTGGTTGCGAAATTTCCTCGAGCGAGACGCGACGTGGCGCAATCGGCTCACCGTTAAAAAAATCCATCTTGTCCTGCGACCTACTTGTTTTATGTACACGTGTATTAAGTGCGCGAACGCACTTTGCTCGTATGTACACGTACGACTGTCGTAGAATCTTCTCGAACCGAGCCCTTCACTGCGAGAGTGGCGAAAGAGAAATTTTGAAAATATCCACATACAAAATTTGGCTGGTGTGTATATATATATATATATATTATAGCATATACATATGTATATATATATATATATCTTCGTATCGTCTCCTCCATCCCAAACGTTAAATCCATTTCTCAAAATTTTGCTTACGCTCACTCTCGCGGTGAATGGCGCGATTCATTCGACCACGCTCCTCCGAGGAACATCAAACGTTCTCGCGCGGGAGTATATATATTTGCATCATATATATATATATATATTTATATATATATTTATATATATATATATATATCATTCACGTAGTATGTACATAACAACAGACAGATTTTTAGCGAAATTTTAGTATCCCGTAAGAACACGCAACGGCTCTTCGTCAATCGTACCGAAACAACGCGGACTGCTGTTGCGGATTAGACTCACGACAACGCGCCGCGAGAGCGGTTTCCTTTTTTTTCTTTCACGCGAAGCTTACGAGTCGGAATAGGAAAAAGTTGCAAGCGCGGAAGGCTCTCTCGCGTCTCTCGTTAGAAAATATTCAGCGTGCGTTTTTCGAACAACGACGATTATACGTTTTTCATCTCGAGGCTTCCGTATTCTCTCGTCTTACCTGCGCGTGTGCGCGCGCGCGCATCCGCCGCACCCGTCGGTTTAAGCTTATCAGTAATTAAGTAAATATCTCGTTATTCCTCTTTATTTACACCCTGTCGAATAGTTTCCTTAAGCCTAGGAATTAGAAACGTCGCGACGACGCGCGATAATGAAATACGCAATTATTTATTATATATTCTTGGAACTTTATTGGCGACTTTAGCCAAAATATGTCAACAATATAGAAGAAACCGCGTTAAAAGTATCGCCCTTCCGCTGTCTGCGAGTCTCCTCCCTCTCTCCCTTAGCTCCCCCTCCCCTCTCTCTCTCCCTCTCTCTTTCTCTCGTAGCGACGTCAGCCTCTGTGCGCGTTTCTCGTGCGGGCTCTTCGTCGAGGAACGACATCTCCTCGCGAGTTCGCTACGACGCAGGCGAGAACGCTTGAAAAGACTCGGATCAGCAGCGCAACAACTCTCCTCGGATTTGACCCGATGCCATCAGGCATAGCGATCATCATCTGACATCGTTGGTTCGATCCTCGAGTTGCTCACGACTGCTGAGACCGAGCATTTCGCGGCAAAGGATAAGTCCACGAGGAGAGCCATGTTGCCGACGGTTGGATAACGAGGTGTGTCCATCGTCGGCTGGTCGCCTCCTCTCCAACGGTATCAACGACAGCCGTGCGTATGCGTCCACGATATCCCCTCCCTTCGGCCGCCGTGCCTACGACGAGCCCAGTTGCGAAGTACCGGCGATGTAAATGTAGCTCTATGGTTGCTGCAGCAACAACTGCTCCAACTCATCGGCCGATCTGAGGAGGAAAGCCGCGGACTCCCGGTAGCCGGTGATCAGCTGCTTCACCGCGGTCATCTCCGTGGCGTTCAGCTTGTGACTCAGTAGCGGCTTGGTGTTCTTCATACTGAGATCCGTGGGTCCTGCGGGACGCAACAGATTTTCATCGTTAATCGCGGCTGATCGCAGATGACCGCGATATCACATGCACCCGATAATCGATAATCGCGAAAGAATTCCTCGCTCGTGCAAACGTCATCGAAAACCGAGTGTCGGTCGCGTCGCTGAACCGGAACATCACAACTATCGCGGAACGGATAGAACAAATTGCAAAAGCGGACGGCTCGGAAGAATTCGGCCGCGCGCGACTTCTCGTTTCGGCGAGCTAATTCGAAACTAAGGAAAAACCCGGTCCTCGGGAGATTCTTTCCGGAGGAAAGGGGCAAAAGTTCGCGCGAGCTCTCGCGAATCGGCGGTTAGGCGGTGGTGGTTGCAGCCTCGGAATAATAAGAAAGCGCAAAGAAGCGAACTTAGAAGGACACCAATAACCAGGTATTACTTGGTGTACCGTTGCTCAGTAGACCCGATGTGAAACTTTGAGTCGGGTACAGCCCGGCGGAGAGGGTCGGCGGTACCGTTGTGGGCCCGGCGCGCTGGAAGGCCTGGCTGAAGTTCGGTCTGTACATCGCGGTCGGCGCACCGCCGCTGGCGACACCATTCACCGCCGATGAGCTGACTATCGTCGTTTGGCTGGAAAGCGAGAATGAGATGTGCGTTAATGATAATAAAAGACTCGCTGGCGCGATTAGTGATCTCTCTCTCTCTCTCTCTCTCTCTTCGTTAAGGACGCGTTTCTCGAGGCGACCGGTGAATTTTTGTGCCGTGGCCTCTGACCGGCCTTTTATCTGAGACTCTCCCGTCCGATTCGACGACGAGGATCTCTCAGCGCCAATAGCGATAATCGGCGGTCACGCACGGCGAATCCGGTCGGAATTGAGTTAATCGCAATCGCAACTCGACGACGAGCGCTCTCTTCTGTTCTTTGAGATGAGGAAAAAGAGAGAAAGGAGAGGTGGAAGATCACGAAAATATTAGAACGAGTATCGCGGAGGGAGCGTATGTGGAGAGCGCGATCTCCGAAAGGGGGTTTATTTTTGCGCCTCGTGTCGGCTCGGTCTCGACGACGTCGTCGGCTACACGGATTGCGAAACGATCGTGAGTAGGAGCGCGCGACGTATCGCGGACTCCGGCCGGGTACGACACGTCGCCAATGAGAAAACAGCACGCAGATTTCATTCGGCGTCTGCGTAACTAAGTAGTTCATCGTACTGACCTCATGAGACCTTTGTTGTCCGTCGGCGTGAGTAACTTGGACGCGGATGCGAGCGACAGCGGGGTGGAGGAGAGGGTGCTGCTCGGCAAGCTCGCCAAACTGGTTAGCGGCGTGAGGGATGCCGTTAGCGATGCCGGCGGTGTGTCCTCCCTCTTGCCCGGAAGTGCCTTAACCGTCGTGCTCGAGAAATGGTCCATGTTCGCTCGCACGTCGGTTTGCTGCAATCGCAGAAAGTGGCGGCGTTGAGATCGAGCCGAAGAACGAACGGTGCGCGCTCCGGAACGATCGTGCATCCCTATCTCTCCCGCCCGTTTCCCTTGCCTCCGCATCCGGCCGATGAGACACGTGCATCGCGACTAATCGCACGCTGAGCGATACCCCCCCTCCCGTCTTACTTCCCGCGCGAGAAAGAGACACGCGGCCTTTTCGGCGGCGTAATCGTATTGCCTCGCCCGATTATCGCGAAATTCCTGCTCCGCCGAGAAAGCGGTTATCAGGCGGTCCACTTTTTTTCAAACGTCGCGCGCGACCCAGTTTCGCCGGCGATCGAAAACGGGGAAATTTCGCGGGCGATTATTATTATTTCAGACGCGCTCTTTGCGGCCCCGCTAAATATTTCGCGGAGCGCGGCGATCTAATCGAGAAACTAGATCCCGCGGTAAAAGCGTCCCGTGGGATATTAAAGAACGCTGTTAACTTTATCGCCGCCGATCAGTCGACGCGCCACGATTATACCCGTCCGGATGTTAGAGAGCGATGAGGCGCGCACGTGCGTGAGCGCGCGCGCGTGCGATCGGCGCGATAAACGGTACCTGCTGAACCTGATCGCGATCGTACACCTGCTTGTGAACGACCCGTAGATTCTTTTTCCTCATGATTGATACGCGGACGGTAGCCCAGGCGGTGTTCCCGGAGGCACGTGTCACCGAACAACAGCAAACAGCAACCCGGCACTATCGATCACCTTGCGAACTATCGATCATCGGCCCGGCCCGTGGATGATCGTCCCGACGCGAGCTGATCCAGCCTCTATCATATCGTCTATCCTCGATCTCGTTATCAACACGATCCCGATCATCGGGCGCGATCGTGTTCACCCAAGCCGTCGCCGCGAGCGACCGAGCGGAACAAAGCGCGCCGGGAGTTTCTTCACTTCGACTTCCTCTTCTGTTTCTTCTCCCGATCTTCTTCTTCCACTTCAACGTTCGCGCCCCACCCTGCCTACCGGCGACGCATCGATACGATAACAATAACGTCCGCGTTTACTCGAGCGCGCTCCGGAGAAGCGAAGACGCTTCTCTCTCGATTGGCGGCGGCGTAGGAGGAGGAGGTGGGGGGGGGAGGGAACGAGGAAAAAGCGGGTTGACACGAGGGAGGAACGCCAGGAACGAGAAGAGAGGAACGTTCGAATGCGCCGGGACGAAACGACGAAGCGTGAGTAAGCTCGCGGGAGGAAATTAATTCGTGGAAAGGGAGGAAGTGTAGGGGGAGAGGTGGGAGGGGAGGAGGTGGAGGAACGGTCGGTGATGAGAAGAGGACGGGGAGGGAGGGAGAAGAGGACCACGAGGCTAGCGAGTCAAGAGGTGGTGATGTGCGTTTCCACCACAGAAACGGATGACTTGCTCGACGAAGGAGAGGATCGAGTGAGACGCACACGGAGGGTTGGAAGGCGGAGGAGGAGGAGGAGGATAAGAAGAGAGCGAGAAGGAGAGCCGGGGGTCCGCGGGAGGAGAGCCCGGCGAGAGCACGGAGGAATGAAATCTTCGAGCGACGGAGAACGGATGTAGGGAGGTGTTTTTATGAAAGGCCAGCAGTGTGCGTTGACGTCAATTATATAGGTGGCCACGAAGAGAGCAGATAGCCGCGTCCGCCGCGCACGAACCTCGACGTGCATGAGAGAGAGAGAGTGAGGAGAGGTCTCCTCCTTAATGGGTTAGGTTTAGGTCGCCGGAGAGGTTATCGGGTCTCTCTCTGTCTGTTTCTCCGTCTCCTTCTCTCAGGCAGGGATTTTCAAAGTAGATAAGTCGGGCCGGCGACGGGAGACCGNGCGGGGAGGATCGGGGAAGAAGCGGAGCGGGGTCGACGGCGGTCAGAAGAGGATTAGGCGAGCACCCGCGCCTGCATTGTGCGGAATTGGATGGCTGCACCTTGCCCGCTCGAAATAACGAAAGCGATCGCTCGCCGCTCTGTCTTATTAGGGGTGGGGAGGGGGTCAACGAACCCTGGGCGCGATACAATAGGTGACGAATATTAAGTCGATCGGACGATCGCGGAACGTGGTGGAAGCGTACGTCGTCGGCCGGTGTTTTCATTCCGCGAGATTAGGCGTGACGTCAATACGCGCGAGAGCGGATTCTTCATCTCTCTCTCCCTTTTTTCCCGCGAGAACGAACCGGCGTGCGTCCCTCGCAAGAGAGACAGAGAGAGTCGGTCGATCGGCCGATTCGACGTTCGCGAAAGCGACGTGACCCCCGAGAGTCGCGGTATTCAAAACTGGCAGTGCGCTCGCGCGTCGTTGACGCAACGCATCGCGAGACACGCGGACGCACGACGTCGCGCGATCGGCGTGTCTCTCCTTCGGCACGTGAAAGCGCCGAGGCGGTGACTCGCGCGCTCCCTAGCTTTTACGCCGCATTTTCTCCCGGGTATATCTTCCGTCTCTCTTCCGATCCGCACCGCCGTTTTCACGAGCCGACCGCGGCGGCCCTCCGCGATCTGTATGCGCGCCGCTTGCATCAGAGTGGGAGAGGTGCGCGACCCGCGGGTTATCACCGGTCTCTCTCGCGGTACCTATATCAATCCTAGCTCTCCGTTCACGTATGCACATATATACGTCTCGCCGCCGGGCGTTGCGCAGGAGCTCCTCAAATTTTCACGCGAGATCTCACGCGCCTGCGCTCTCGCGAATAAAAATTTTCCCCGCTCCGCCCGTCTCGCGGTCTAATTTGTTACACGTTCAATTGAGCCGTTTTCCCTCTGATGCACGATCCTTCCGGAGATAGGAAGGAATATAAATATAATATATATAGTATTATTATTAGTATTCACATACGTATAGTATTGTTATTAGTATTCACATACGTATAGTATTGTTATTAGTATACAGATAAGTATAGAAATAATATATTAGTATTATATATTTTATATGTATGTGTTATATTATTATTGTCATTGTTATTATTATTATTGTTATTAATATATACAAAGGGACAAATATTTCCGTGGATTTAACTTTTACGGTCCAAATAGTTTCCAACGTTTTGTATCAGCTAACTCAAAGAAATTCCTTTATCCAACTGATATTGCTTCAATATTTAATTAATGCAACACCATGTATACGTAATAATATATCTATATTGAGCGTATTATTGATGAGTAAAAAGTTACTTTATGGAATCGATTAGAAAAAAGCGCAATGTCGATGTAAACTCTCTTCACGGGACCGCAAACGGTTAAAGCACTTGCACCAACATCAGACTTTTCATCTTCGGCGTACGAGATCTTACTCTTTAAATTTCTTGGAGTGGAATCTCATTCGGAACAAGTGAGAAGTGGCAGTATTTTCGCTCGAAGCGATCGGAGTGAATTTGTGACCATGACGGTGGAACATGTTCAAATTCATTCTTCAGTTTCGAGTGAAAATATTTACTCGACGATCGAGACTGCCGGTAAATTTCGGAAATACAGCCTCTATGACAAGTGAAAAGTCACTCTAATCCGAGCGACTCGGCTGCCACTCTACTTTTTCGGGTGAGGTTTCACTCTAGGAAATTTCGAGAGTAACAGTGCAGACTTGGGGGTCGTTGCGCAGAGTGCGGGAACACTGTGCAGGAGGGCAGATGACTTACCTTTCCACCTGGGTTGGAAAGATCGAACACGAGTATAGTCGAGTCACTTCGTGAATGTGCGTGCGTGCGTACATACGCGCCTAATGTGTGATACATTATCTTTGATAACTCTTTCGATGCCGGCGAAATTGCGACACCGGCATCGTTAATGTTTGTCGAGAGGCTACCGACTTATTCACCTGGCCAGAGATATTAATATACTATATATATTTTTTCTTTACACAATACACATCACGTATTTTCTTGGGGCGGACACGCGTACTCCGTTGGCTTTCGTTATCGCAGTCAAGTGTTCGATCTATTTCCTTCCCGATATTACTCACGAGATTTTGCGTAAGTGTAATCTAAGCCCATTTTACCTGATATTCCCAGTTCGTAATTCACTCGAAACATCGTGAATAACGTTCACGAGTCGTCATCACGAAATGGTCCGGTTGTTCCTGAGTAGTTTCCCCGTAAACATCTCAAGTACAGGATCGTTCGAAGATGTAAAAATGTGTTGTTTCTCATGTTAATCGTATGTTCCATACACAGAGAGATTCATTACATCGAGAAAATATTCTACTTCTAACTACTTAACTACTTTTTATGTACACGTTCCTTCCGATTTGATCATATTTTCCAGCCGTGCGAAGATAGTGTCGATTTATTTTTAAGAAACGGGAAATTTTGCCAGAAAACGTAATAAAAAAAAAAAAGTTAAGGCCGAACATCGATATGTTTCTCGGATAGATTTTTTCGTAATTTTTACTGTAAAATTTTTCTCTTGTCGATAATAAACCGGAGAAACATATGTATGGAGGCACGTATAGTAATCTTTGTCGATTTGTGCGTGTATAAGAGATATACTTACCTTCATCGATGATTTACGTTGAATCCAATATGCCGGTATGGACTTATGACCAACATTACCACGTCTCTTGCATTTGCGAGTCGCGGAGACAAATAGTTTTTTAGGTATTACATTGAAATTCGCGTTAAACACATTACATATATTAACGTTATTTACCTAGAAGAAGTATATACTTAGTCAAGGAAATAAGTAACCAGAGAAATAAACATAATTACAATGATGATGGTATTAATATGGGGAGAGTACACGTCTGATGTGAGTGCATGGCTGATGTATGGACAATATATGAATTCGTTTTTGTGATGAAACTTTTGTGATAGAACCAGTGTGAGAGTTGGGGAACAAATACGTCAAGGGGCATTGAAAATATCCCACTCAGAAGAACGTATCGGATTGGACTGAAACTTGGTAAACAGAGAGAGAGAGAAAGAGAGAAGACTCAAAAGATCAAGTGATCCTAATTAATTGGCGGAATAACCATGGATTTATACAGAATGGTTCAAATGTATCGCTGAGATCATATACTGAGAATAGGAGAAATGTGTTCTGTAACTTGGGGCTCAATCGGATAGGTCTTTTTGGGTCTTCAATGTCCCTTGGTGTACATCAGAAGTACAAGATTGCTGTGAGCCCGAGGCCTTTCGCTTGCAGGGGGAGAGCTCGCTCCGCCAACGCTCGCTACTCGGGCTCCCGCTCTGATACTCCTTCTTTCAATAATGTTAATTATTAAGATGATTGATCGCTGTTTGTATTATTCTAATTCTACTTACTGTTGCTGCCGGTAAAGTGGGCATTGGTTGCGACACTGGTTCGAGGCCGAGTCTCATACGCTTAGCGTTCTCGCTTTCGTTTTCACAAGCAAACGCCAAGATCTGCTCCGCCTGTGCCGACGTTAAATGCGCCGGCGTGGGTCTTGCCTGAAAAAGAAACGCTTAGTAGCAACGTCACGCGCTCGTTGTCGCGCATGCCGCCGCGTTTGACTCACGCCGCGAGAACGCCCCTGAGAGAGGAGCTTGCACGAGCGCGAAAAGCTCGACACGTGCGAACCCTAAATCGACGAAAAGACCGCGAAGATCCGAAGGGAAAAGTTAATTTTTCAAACGATCCCACTCGCGAGACAGTTTCATTATTAAGGGATCGGATACTCGCGCGTGCACACGCGAGAGCGGCACCCCGAGACGAAATGTTAATTTTCAATAAAAATCTACTTGGTTCTACATTAAGTCTTCGTCAAGTTTTCCATTGTGCTCCCTACAAATAGAAAGTTCTTTTTGTTTTCTCCACTTGAAGACTTAATGCGGACTTGACAATTTCGCACCGGGTGGTCGAAATTCCCTTTTGCGGCGTCAAAGGAGCTCTATTAGTGCCTTCACGCTACAAATGGCGAATTATTTCCGTTTTTCCCACTTGAAGGAAGACTCTTAATATAGAACCAAATAAACTTGACGTAGGACTCCGAGTGTCGGTTCGAGACGGCGCGAGGAAAGTTTGTACTTCCTTGTTTTCCATGATTATGTTGAAAAAATCTGTTCGCAAGGAACGCGGCAGTGAACTTACGGCATCCCAAGGGGCGCCCTCCCTTCCGCGCTTGTTCCTCCGACAGCTCTTCAGGTACGTTCGGATCCTCTTCCTCGCCCTTTCGGCGAATTCGGGAAACTGCCTCGTGCAACTATCGATGATCGCCTGTATCTTCTCCTTCGGCTGCTTCGATATTGGCACGATGCGATCCAGGTTCTCGTCGACGAACAGCCTCACGAACATCTGCCACGGGACACGCAGAACGGCCGCGTTATGGCGAGAGTGAATTAAGCGGGAGTCGTACGCGAGTCCGCTAACCGCTCGAGGAATTAAGAATTTAGCGGCGGTGGGGCGCAACACCGGGGCTCTATTAAACTAATTGTAATTAATTAAGAAGCTCGGCCGGGACGCGCCAGCCGCCGCGGAACTACGACCGCGCGCTCGCGACGCTCGTTCTCGGTTTTCACGAGGAAAACGGCCGGGCGGGAAGGGGCGGCGGGAGGAGAGGAAAAAGAGAGATATACGAGCGGTCGTGGGAGAAAACGAGGGGGGAAAAACCGAGAGAGAGAGAGAGAGAAAGAGAGAAACGGCATGCGCCGTTCCTCCACGCCGAGCCGCCACTCGGGTGCACCACGCGCTCTCATAAAACTTTACGATAATTAGGGTTTTTCGGTAAAGCCTGCCGCGCCGACGACGACGGCCTTAACTTCTGCACCCGAGCTGTGGAGCTCGGCGATGGCGCCGTTCTCTTCCGTCCCTCGCGCGATCCTTTCCCCGTTCTGACGCGCGAACGACGCTTTTCTTCAGCGCGATCGGCGGTTGCATAAAGCGACCGGTTGGATATGCAACCGCGCGGCTCGTAATTCGGTTACGAGCGCCGTTGTCTACCTGTTGTCAACGCGGATCGACGGACGAGGACGGCGATGTAACTATCGTTCGAGGTTTTTCCGCGCGCGGAAAACGGCTATCTTCCTCTTCTCCCCTCCCTCCCCCCCCCCTTTTTAACCAAGTAATATTTCATCGTTTCTTAACCCATTGGACCGACCAGCGTCACAACTTGTGAGACGTCCCTTCTATCTTTCCTATCTTTTTTTATTTTTTTCCTTCTTCATTTTTTGTCCCTTCTTTATTTCTCGCTTTGTGTTTTCATTCGTACTTATGACCTTCAGTGAAAATAAGTATGACATTGATATAAGTATGAAATTTTTACAAAACAGTTTGATCTTTCAACTAGACACGTTGGTGAAATAATTACAGGTCTCCAATGGGCCAACAATAAATTTGAAATAATCAAGCAATCAATCCCCTTCTTAACTCCGGCTGGCCGAAGCGAGATTCGCGGACGCGACTTTCGCGAGACAGTCCGCCGCGTTGCGCACCAGGTGTACTCACGTTAAATGCCTTGAGGCGTTCCGGGTCATGGTGTCTCGGGTCCAGCCTCTCGTCCGCATCCTCGTCGTCATCGTCCTCGTCCTCCTTGTTGCCGCTACTACTGGTCTCGTCGTGAGCGCTTCCCGTCCCCTCGCCGCCGGGTGGACTGGACTCTCGGTCACGATCCGATCTTGAGGGCGTCGCCGACGAGGCCGGCGGTGGTGTCTTCTTAAAACCCATAGCGTACCACAAGGATGCCATTTCCTCGGTACCGACACCCGCGACAGCGCTCAGATTCGGTACTGTCCCAGCCGGCATGTCTACCAATTCCGCGGAACCGTTCCTGGAATCTACAAGAGCGAACATCTCGGGTGAGTTGAATTTCGCGTGCTCCGACGCTCCGAATCCGGGCTTTCCGCGGGTCGTCGCATCGACCACTCGTAAAGCGTGTATCGATTACGCAACTAATAAATAACCCGTATTAACAGTGACGGCAATAATTATATTATTTCTCGCAAATATCACATTTGTCGAAATTAACGCTGTCGGCCATCGACTGTAAGCTATCGATCGATATCACTCGTGATTATCCTCTTTTTTTTGTACGTAATAATTAACTGCTAATTGACAGCGCAAGTCCGGCGATGGGAACACCTTGCATTCGCGATTCGCGATCGTTAATTATCCGGCGAGCGGGCGGGACGAGGGGGGGAGGGAAGGGTATCGTGTTGCGCCGGGAACGCCGGTAGGGAAAATAACGCTCCCGTTGAATAGCCGGCGTTAAGCGCGACGATTGGATCGCGCCGTTTCGATTTGTGAATAGAGAACGTTCAGGTCGGGACAGAAGAAGGGAACACTTTTTTTCTTTCCCACGCCACGGTCAGGCGAAGAGCCGGTCATGTGCGGCCGGCTAGATACACTAGCTTAGCGGTGAAAGAAACTTGGGGAGGGGGAGAGAGAGAGAGGCACGTGGGTGGTATTTATCCCGCAAATATAATAACAATAAACACGCTGTATACACCTTCATCGTCGTCGTCGTCGTTGTCCGGCGGTCGCGTGACGACGCTGATTAGGGATGATCGACCGGTGGAGATAGCGTTTCGCTAAGCCACGAGCCCCTGCTGGCTTCATGCTCGCGTCTATCACCAATATCGGGAGTTGGAAGTTTCGTCTGGTCGACGTAAACTCGGTCGGCGAAAGCAAAACGTCGCGGTTACCAAAAGGACGGTGGGACTTTTTCGCGATATTTCGGCCGTCGAATGACGGTCTCGATGCAAGTTGCATGTCCAATGAATGAAGTCGATTGCATAAAGTCAAGACGAAGATAAATACGAGGAGGAGGAGTCCTGGCGGATCTCGCCGGAGAATCGCGCGCGCGCGCGCGCGCGGAGTGTCAATTAATTAAGTTCGCGCGCGCTCTTCGCCGGGACGATTTCGCTCGGCGAGCATGCGCCGCGCTTCGCCCGTTTCGCGCGGCCTCCGTTCCGCGATATGAACGCGCAGCTACGTCGATACGACAAACGTCCACGCCTGTTTCATAGAATTTTGTAACCTTGATTTCTCACTCTCCACTTCGCCCCTCTCTCTCTCTCTCTTTCTCTCTTTAACCCACACCGATACGATATTCCGTTATTCGAGCCGCGCTGCGGAGCACTCGGAATTAATTTTGCCGCTCTCAAAATCCTCGCGAGAGCCGTCGGAGAAATAACATTTATACCGACTCAGCGTTTCTCGCTCGTGACTCAAATTTTCGAGCTCGAGAAATGGAGAGAAAGAGAGATTCGCGCTGTGTACGGACCTCCTCCCCCCCCCCGCCCCCCTCTCTCTATCCTTCTCGCTCTCTCCTCGGAGGGCACAGCGAAATTTAGCATGTCAATCGCGCCGATGACAGGGAGATTGGAGCGTTGTTCGGCCGCTCGTCCCGTAAACCCTGTTCCCCCTCCTCTCTCTCTCTCTCTTTCTGTACAATAATAACGGCAACCCGTTCTCGAAACCCGTAATAAGCTCGATGGCGTGCGCGCGCGAGGTGTTAAAAGGCGGCGCGCTCTTCTACCGTCACGATCCCAGAAGAGAACGTACGGTAAAGGTGCTTTTATACGAGGATGTCGACGAGGACGAGTCGCGGCGGCATCGGCGGGAGAGGCATCGGCGTAACGTAGAGAGGAGGAGGAGCGGATCACCGCTCAGGGAGTGCCGCGGGGCGATCGTAAAGAGGCTACGAGAACCTCGCGGACCCTCTTCCACCCGGGGCTCTCGTTCGGTCTCCGATCAAAAGAAGGGACGGCCTCAGCGAGCGAACTGCCGGTTTCGCGTACGATCGCTCGCTCGCGCGATCGATAGCGTCAAGATGTCGCGGCGTGACGTCCGTAGAAAGCGGCCTCGTGTCTTAATTTCGTTACACGCTACTCGAATTACCTTCCCGATTCGCAGCGCCGTCATACGGCCCTCCGACCTGTTTCCAGACCAGGAACCCCGAATAATACGCGAGTGGTGTATCCACGTTAAAAGGGAAAATCCAGTTACCCCCCTCCCCCCTTCTCCCCTCGATATAGTCCACGGTCGGTCGGATAACCCATTTTCCATTTATAATGACCGGAATGTTATTCCTTACCGTGCTCATTACGAATGTTTAAATGAAGTTATTCGAGAAAGAGAAGGAGAGAAAGAAGGAGAGTGAAAGAGAAGGATAGACGGATAACGCGATGCAGAAGATCCACGGAACGGACGGGCGGACGAATGAAAGGACAGACGGATGGATCGCGAGGCGCGTTTGTTTGCACGATGACGTAGCTCATCAAGCAACCGAGCTCGCGATCTTACATCCCCCCCCTTCTACACCCCCTCCTCGTCTTACTCTCCACCTCGCTCGGCCGGGCGCGAAGTAATCTGCAACCTGGAATCGAATTCTTCCGTGCTCGTAGTTTTCGAGACGCCGCTTCGCGAACGAACGAGCGCGGACGCGAAGGCAGCTCTCGTCTCGGAACGTTTGCATCGTCGCGGCGCAACTTTCCGCCGGGCGTCTTCAACTTCTCTCCGCGAGAAGACGCGCGCGGGAAGTCTATCCGGGGCGCGGCGGCATCAGAGATCCTGATTCCACCGGCGTGTTCTTTAGACCGCGATTGCGACGCATCTTTCTACGAGGATTCCGGTAGAACCAGTATAACTGAATGCGCGAGCGGACGACCCAGGAAATTGGACCCTCGTCCAGGAGGCGTGCTGGCGGTGCTGCATCGTGCGTTTCTTCTTTCCTCCCTTCTCTGTGCCTCTCCCTCTTTGCCCCTCTCTCTCTCTCTCTCCTCTTCTCTCCACTCGGCGTTTCCACTCGGCCCCGGAGGTTGCTGCACTTCGGTTCTCACACGCACACGGCAAGAAAAAAGTGCGTGCGTGTGCGCGCGTGTGTGTTCGTAACGTTCTTTCTCTCTTTCTCCCTCTCTGTGCCCGCTCGCTCTCTAGGAGGGTACCAGCATTGCGCGCACACCGAGAGAGGGTTCCCGGCCTGCGGCGAGCGCGTAGTATCGTTGGAGAGTAGTCGGAGGAGGTAGGCAGGCAGAAACACGCACATAAGCGAACGCTCGCGAGAGCGCTCGACTAGGCCGGCCGCGCGCGGCTAGAAAGCCGGTTACCAATCCCAATCCCACCGCCTAGCACCGTTCCTGAACTCGGCTCTTGGCCGCTGGCCTGAACCTGAAATCAGTCGACGACGGCGGCGTCGGCGCCCCACCCGGCGGTTCATCCTCCTCCTCCCCCCGAGCTCTCTTCCCGCAAAGGGAAACTAATACCCTGCGAGAGAGACCGGGCACTTCATCTTTTTCTCTAGGCGCACCACGGCGACCCGTGGTGCGCCCGCTGCGCGCGAGAGCCTCGCCAACGCCGCGAGAGCGTTCGTTCGCGAGAGCAGCGCTGCAAAATTCGCAGACAAGCCACGTACGCCCACGGTACTTCGGGGCCAGGTATGAAAGACCGTCTGTCCCCTCGTCGCCGCTACCCGTACCGGTAGGACACCGCAACGTTGGACGACGGTAACGTGCAATCGCGAAGATGGACGAAGACGTATTATCTTGTCCCTCATAAATGTCACCGGCCATGGTGGGACGCCGCGCGTGATGGCATGCGTGAGCGCGCGCGATCACGCGAGAAAGAAAATTCGGCGCGCTCCCAGATGGCCGACGACTTACGTCTTCGGGGATACCGATACGTATGTATTCTTCGATAGGTCTCTCGGATTTTTCTTTTCCACCGGAGAATGCAAGGTTCTTCGATCGAAACTAACGATAGCTGCGTACAAAATTAAAACTAACAGTAATGACGAAGAATGAAAAAGGCTCGGTTGATATTCAATCGGGGATATATTGGAAGGGACCGGTGAGAGTCGGTGGCTTCATACTCGTACAATTAACCGTACCGCTTAGTGCACTTTGTAACTTACGTCACGAAAATCAAGCACCGGCTCTTATTGGCCGATCTCACTATATTTTCGATTGATGATAACGATAATAGGACAATTAGAACCAAATGCCAGTCGCTGTTTACTCCCTTGAGTTATCAATTAATCATATAATTGGGCGATTTTACTTTTTGATTTCAACATCGTCGGCACAATGCAAAAGGAGATTACTGCGAATGAATATTCGCCGGAAAATCCCGCGAGAGAATGAGAAATCGCAGCCACGTTCTTAGCAAGATGTCATATTTACGTCGCTTTAAAATTAAATCGTTTCCTTCTGATTTTAATAAGTTCATCCCCGAGGAAGTTAAGGCGGCGCGAAACGCGCGATTATTTGGGCTTCGGATGTGTCAGATTTTCGCTTATCACGGTGACCGTCCAGTTTCCGAACGGCGATGATAACGCGGTCGACATTTTCGAAAGAAGGAATAGAAGTCATTTAAGATTCGTTCATCCGTCCGATATATCCCTTCAGGTAAATGATTTCATTAACGGCTCCTGACTTTTCCGGATCGCAAATTAATTCGCTCGATTATTCATTTGTTTTTCCCCGTGGTGACGAGCGCGCCGATAATAATTGATGCGTCGATGTTGGGAGGGCATCGCGTCTGCATTTCAATCGCGACTCGTAATTTATACGTGCGTGGTTAGGCAAAAAAAACTCTCGGAATAATATAAAGCGAGCTCGCGGCGAGCGGCGTGGTATCGCTCGGGCTGATCTCCGCGCGTAAGTACGTAAGAGAAAAATTGCGCATTGTCGTCCCCGATGCACGGCGCAGATCCGGAAGCGGTCGTACTTAAGACGTCGTGATTTTGTGACATATCGCGAACATAATCGTCGGATGCATGTCACGGGGGGGAAAGTTTGTGTCCGCCGTAAATTATAAATATTACACCGCGCCGAGTCCGCGGAGTGCATTAAGAGATGAGAAACCAAGATGTCCTCGTGGCCGTCGCCGTGTCTTTTTTATCAAGATCTCCGGAGCGGACGGAGGCGGCTTTATCGAGAAATCGATTTGCGGCGCGAGAGTATCCGCGAATATCCAGCCGGCGGCTGGCTGCTTTCGCGAGCGAATGTCGCTTTCGGAAGTCGCTTCTCCCTCCCGCCTCCCGTTAACATCGCGCGAAATGAAAAAGTAAACGAGCGGCGTAGAAAGGCGAAATTATATCTCGCTCGCCTATCGGCGAACGCTCGTCCTCCGGTGTGTATCGAATATAATTGTTTCTAATAACCCCCGAGGGAGAGATGCATTGACCTCGGCGAGGTGCGGAGGCGCGCGAAATTACGAAGAGAGCGAGCGAGCGCGGCCGCTCTCGAGTCCCCGCTTGAAAATGCAAATCCCGCGCCGGTAAGAACACACACACGTCGCGCGAGAGATCGCGACTCCGAGATTACCCGCGGGCTCGCGCGACCAGCAGCTCGCTGCCGACCCGATCTCTCCCCTCCTCCTTGCCCCCGCGCCTACTCCGCTGTCGCTTTTCCCGCCCGAGATCGCGCCAGAAGAAGCGGCTCCGTCGAGAAATCGATTTGCGAAACTCCCGTTCGCGTCTGCCGCGAGAGAAGCGGAGAAGTTTCGCGCGAGATACGGAATCCCGGCCGGTCATCACGTGGGTGGGAAGGGGGGGAGAACGAGAGGGGTCGTGCTGCGTGAATCCGTATTTGCTTGTCGTGTGTGCAACATATATATATATATATATATATATTTGTATGTACATACATATATATATGTATATATAACATATATATCTACTCGTCTCTTCGGCCGATAGCTGGTTCATTACGCAATGACTACGTCCGAGATATAGAGGCCCGCTTCGAAACCAGTTTCAAATAGCTGCCAGGGAGGATAGGTGGAAGAGGCGTATCGGGGCGGAGGGGCACGGTGAATTATCCTTCCGCAACCTGGCCTAACTGAACAACAGGCGAGTGGCTCGCGCGCGCACCACCGCGCGGAAACACTCGGCTCCTCTCGGGAGAATGCCGCGCGACTATCGCGACGTAAAGGATATATGCGGCAATTAACGCGCGTGCCTTTTGCCTGCCGAAGACGTGCCCCGACCGTATGATGAGCCGACTGGGGGAAAAAAAGTTCGAGACCGCGAAACGTGTTTCTCGACGTCGCGGACGGAGCAACGACGGATTCCCCGCTATCGGATTTCACTTCGAAGGTCGATGACGCGCGCGCGCGTTTAATTTTCTTTTTCGCTCTCTTCCCCCGCGCACGAAAAATACATAATGTCGTTCCTTCGCACATTTGATGAGAAAAAATCGGCTGAGTAAGAGGATTAACAATATGCGCCGCTACGCATGGAAGCAGAATGCGGAATTAATTTAAGAGGGGCCACTCGCGTTAGTTCGTAATAGCGCGACTAATGGACTCGCGATTTTCTCCGTTCGGGGTTTCGACGCGCATCGGTAGGACGGCGCGCGCGATTACCGTCGTCGCACCCGTCGCTCCCGTGACTCATTTCTTTATTCAACCGGATTACTCAAGAGCGCGATATCAAAGTACACGGTGTCTTGGGCGTGCGTCCCCCCCCCTCATTTCCCCGGCAGAATGCGACCGATATTTCGCTCTCTAAAGTGCAATCAGTGTATCATCACTGAGAAGCACTCAATAGTTACTAGTAATCGTAGTTATAGCGTTGGGAATCGATAAAGTTTCGCTGCAAAAGTCTGCGAATAGATGGTTTCCAACGGAGGAATCTGATGAAATAGTGAAAAAAAAGGTATCACTTATTACCTCCTTTTCATTATCTTAATCCCACTTCAAGGTCAATGATTTTGCCTGAGATATTCTCAATTGTGTTCTAAATATGTTTAATCGATTTCATTTATATCGTATTTGGAAAACATATTTATCGCAGTGGAACTCGAATTCGAAATCTTTAGTTCTTAAATCTATTTTACCGTACGAACTATGCCAAATACCAACTATGGTTGAATGTATGTGTGATATGCAATTCATATTTCTACTACGGAACGCGTAATACAGTGAATCTTTTACCGGCCAAAATCAATGAGGCATCGGATAAAAGAGCTTAGTGAAAGAGTTCCCATTAAAAATTAACGAATACTCATTGATTATCGATCGAATATCCGAGTCGAAATTTTGGCCCTATGTTAAACCTTTAATTTTATAATGTAGTAGGAGCTAAGATAACAAAATAGGTTCAATTTCAATTCTAATAATGTAACTCCTACTTTTTGATCCCGATGATGTCTTAAAAATGTCCATTTCCGCCGTTTTAGCGTCAAAATAGGTTGCTGAAGGTAGCATTGAAATTCGACGTGTAGAATTGAAAATTTCAGAGAAAGCGTCAGTATCGGCAAAGTAACTCGGACAACGTAACGTCTAAAATTGGTACATGAGACGTCTTTAAGACGTCTTATATCCCGATTTCAGACTTTACGTTGTCGGGGGAAGTTTTTAATATTCTGTAGGCGCGAATTATCCTTAAGAGCGTCAGAATAGCGTCAAAATTTCGACCCAGGTACTCACTGATTCAATCAGTGACATTTTCACTGATTCGACTTGAAAGAACGGAATCCCCGAAATGTCGAGGTGTCGAAACACCGACAAATTGGCCGAGAGGTGCGAACACCGGAGGATAAAGGAAGAGAAAAGAGAAACAGAAGAAGACCCGTCTCTCGGAGAAGCGTCTCGGTTAACGTGGTCACGTTCGCGAACGCTTAGAGAGCCACTTTAATGGTTACTCGAAAACACGCGCGAGTCTCCGCCACACCGGCGGCGATTACGTAAGGTCTGATGAACGAGAGGATGAAACACACAAACGGCTCGCACGCGCGCGCATATATCCACCGCGACGGTATCGATACCCGAAGGTATCGGTTGCATTCCTCATCTCGTGCGCGGCTTTCCGCCCCCTCTGATTCATCGCCGGCGGAGAGAAACGAACGAGTAGGATTCACCGTCGGCCTTCCTCACCCCCGCGATTCACCCTGACGTGGATTTCGCTGGAACTCGCGTGGGCCGGCGAGGAGGCGCTCGTGCACGCACGCACACGCACACAGGAGCGCGCATCGAATTTCTCTCTCTCTCTCTCTCTCTCTCTCTCTCCACGCCACGGGGTACGTCCTAGGCCGGCGATCCATTAGTCACGTCGAGCGCGACGACAAAACTTTACGAGCTAAATGGCCGGTACACCTTGGCCCCGCGAAACCTGCAATTCACTCCGTCGCGAGGCGTGCGCGAGCGCGCGCGAGAAGGACGGCAAAACTTGAGCATTAAAGGCCCCCCGGCTGCGCGCGTTTACGCCAGGCGGAGCGAGGTTCTTTTCATAAGTGGGATTTCGTCAGTCTAGCTAGGCGACACATCAATGGGACGTCGGCGTGACTTCGCGCCGGGTCTTTTCGCGACGCGGAGAAGAAAGAAGAAAGACGTCTAGACGCGAACGGCCGTCCCGTAATGGATTCCGTTAAGCGTCGCCTGTCGATTTCGCGCTGGCGAATTCTTCCCCCCCCCCCTCTCTCTCTCTCTTTTAACTTCTTTTTTTCCCTTGTACTCTTTGCAACGCGACATTCGCGGCCACGTACCCGACGCGGTTGACGTTGAATATCGGCGACATCGACGAATCTCACGAACGCAGGCACTCACACATGCACACTCGCACAGTAACTCGAAGATTATTGACGGTCCAAGAGTTTTCGCGCCGTAAGGACAATATAAAGTACACGAGAGAGGCAAATAGGAAGTGTTTCGAGGATCTTCCTCGTATTCACGTCTTAGAATTTAGAGGGAGCAACTTGGCCACTATATTTTCGCGTCAGTTGCTCGCCGACGGGTTGCAGGAATCATCCCTAAGGAGCGCGCTCTTGAGCCGTTCGCAAAAAAGTTCGCTCCTTCGCGGGATCTACGTGTCCACGATTTCGCTCTCACTTTAAGTTACACATCTTCAATTTCAAAATTTTCAAGAGCCGTAAAAAAAAATAATCGTCGCCTTTCACGACGCGATTCTGGAATGAATCCTCTACAACGTGGAAGGCGAAGCATTTCGTCTGTTCTTTTTAGCTGAACCGGCTGCACTGGTTCAAGAAAATTCACACGCACATTGAAGCGTACGCACGAGATTCGTTCTCCGCGCTTCGGTGTGCGTGAGCGTTTCGAACTGCTGCAGCCACTTCAGCTAATAAGAACGGACCGATCGATAGCAGCTGTAAAGCTGATGCTGCGCCTTTTGGGAATACAATTGACAAATATTCGTATAACTCGGTCGTAAGTTGCGGCAGTCTCACGTTGTACGCCCGATAAAGTAAATATTATTATTACGTGTGAAAATCAAAGGCGCTCGTGCTGCGTAAATATTATTAAAGCTCTACCCTTACCTGTAAGGGTGGAATTATTAATGGTGTTGTTTGCTGTGGAAATGGCCGACTGACTGCTGACAGGTGTGCCAACGGTGGTCGCCGTAGTGGTCGACGAGTTATTTGGCGATAGGGCGGCATTGACGGCCTGGGCCTGAGCCTGGGCCTGAGCCTGGGCCTGAGCGGCTTGTTGCTGGAGATTATAATTCCACGCGAGCAGCATCAGTTTCAGCTTATCCGGGTCTTTCATAAGCGTGCCTGCCGCTACTAAAAGCGTTAATTGATTTCAATGTTAAACTCATCGATAGAAAACGGACGATCGCGAGCGAGCGAGCAAGCGCTCTCCCGCTCTCGCACGACGCGAAGCTCGCGTTGCTCAAGCTTTTCCTTCCACTCTCCTTCCTCTCGCTCCCAGCTTCTCTCTCTTTCTCTCAGCGGGAGTCCTCGCTCATACAAGAAGTGGGATCACGTCCGGGCACGATCCTATATCGCAAGCGAGTCGCGACATTCGTCATCCACCGTCCGGCCCGGCGCGCTCGCGCGAGGCCGGAGGCTATTATCACTTATCAGCTACCTGAGCGCGCGACTCCGGCCGGGAGCGAATAAATTAAACTTACAAAACAAGCACGACGCGTCGCGTCGACTCGATTTAATCGGCGCTTAATAACGCAACAGGTTTAATTACCCGAAACTGATAAATCGGCGACGGTGCGCGCGGCCCTCCGCTCGCACCTGGCGGACCGTGTGTATGTGTGTGCGTGTGTGTGTGTACTTCCGCGCTTTTCGTATCTGCGTGTGCGCGTCGGTTACGATTATTAATCGATCGGGCAATTTACACGGGCCCTGACAAAAACCAACGAACGGGATTAAGCTCCGCGAGAGTGAGTCTACGATTAACTCCCCCTCTCCTCGTCCCCCCCACCGTCGCCCGCCTTGCCGCACCGAGTGCGCGAGTACGGGCTCATGATTTATCCTCGGACACGCGGTCAAGCCGGCCCGCGGTGAGAGACGTCGTTAGATTATTGATCAGCGCCGCGGTACAATTCGACGGGCGCGATTAACGACGTCCTGTCCGCGGCTCGCTGCTCCGTGAGATATCCACCGCTACCGGGCGAGAGAGAGAGAGAGAGAGAGAGGAGAGAGAGGGGGAGCGGCTCGAGATTCTACGATCCGGTTTTGAGCGTCGTCCTCCTGCGCGCCTCGTCGTGACTCGTCGCGATACCGATATCGATCCCGGTGCACGCCGACCCCGACTGATATCCTAGAGCAAGCGATGACGTGCGTGCGCGCGGTCCGTCTTCCCGGCGATGCGACGACGAGGAAACAACAACGGAAACGAAAAATAAGAGACCGGGCCCCGGCGATAGCCGCCGTCGAATCGCCGACGATACACGACTGGGCCGAGCGCCGACGGGCGATGAGTAATGCGCGCGACGCGAATGTGTATTTCCGGCGATAAGCGAGTCGCGATCTGATCCGCGATGGAAGGCGGGGGGGGGATTCCTGCCAGTCCCGTTCCAGCTGATAAATCCGATCCCACTCGGGATTGAAAGTCGCATCTCGCGGAATTTAACGAACGTCAATATTATGCGCGAGTGCGAAATATTATAAAAGTTCGCCTGTCTTTTTTCACGCGCGGCTCGGGGCGATCGCCGGTAAAAAGATTTGATCGCGAGCGAATCCGGTCTGTCCGCGAGTTCCAGTTCACCGCTTATCGCTCGATGCGTATGTGCTGCCTCGCGCGCGGAACTGTCGATATTATCATTCGAGATATAGCGAAGGAGCATCATTAAATCGTACTCGCGAATCGAGAGCTCGTGTGAATAACAGGAAATAGTAGTCTCGCGGCCTCCTCTTCCAACGATAGTGACTTTGTTACGTCGTACGAGCGAAGACACTTTCCGGCCTCTTTTCGACGGTTCCTTCATTAAGGTAGTTAGACCGTAGAGAAATTTTCAGCGGCGATATTAAGAGGCTCCTCCGTAAGTTTGTTATTCGGTGGAAAAAAAAATACTTTCTTTTAACTTTATTTAACTAAATAATAAATTTCAATTTCGAACGCACACGCGAAATTAAGACAAATAATACACGATATTACCACGGAGATATTATTTATTCTTTATTTTCCTTATTAATGCTTTATTTGTACGTACAGTTGAACTAATGGAGAGGTGCACACATGATAGAAAGTGATATATAAATATTTAAATATGTATATATGTACGTATATATCAAGGGATATTACTGTAAATTATAAATTTCCTACGACTATATTTTCATTTCTGCAATTTTCGTATAATGTCTCTACACCAGTCCCTAATATCACAAGTTTCGTATCTTAATATCAATAGTTTTCAAGAAAAATCCTAAATGTGGTTTAGAATAAATTGAAAATAGAAATTAGAAATAGGAGGTTAGCTTCAAGGAATACATATAAAACATTTCATATTCATATTCAACTTTGCAAACGTTATATATAGCATTTCCAGCAATATGCAGCCGAAATCTAAAAGGATTCCTAAGGAAATAGTTTGACGAGCTAACTACCTTAATTATGCGGTAATCCGAGCCACCGTCAAAAAATAAACTCGTCGCAACTCGGCGGAAGGAATTCGGACGCGGACGAGCTCGTTGAACGCATAGATCGATGCTGTGTGTGTGTAGGCGGTTTTTTGCGTTTACGTGTATACGTGTGCATGTGACTCCGTGTGTTCGCTCTCGCGAAATTATCGATCTTGCCTCTTCCTCCCTTCTTTCTTTTTCTTTCTTCACCGCAACATGCTCCCGCACGCGTACGCTCCCTCTCTCTCTCTCCCTCGGTGCCGAAGACGAGCCCGTTCATTCCTGCCCGCCGTGAAACCGTAATCGAATGCACGGTGCTGAGTAACGCGCTCGACGATACTCTAATTCGTCGTATCGATCCCGTGCCACGCGAACCACGAACGGTAACACACGCGGGATCCGACTCGGAATCGAGCCGCCGATATTGACCCTTAGATTACCGCGCACCGATTTATTACCCGCCACACGAGACGGTGAACGTCGGTATTTTCGCAGACCCAAATCGCGATATCCGCTCCGGCAATTCTACCATTTCACCCACGGTTCGCGGATAATTCCTTCGAATTGATTCATTTCGCGTAATCAGCTTCAGCAACCTGATGAGCTCTAGAAATCGCGACGGTCCGTGCCGATTCGTCGATCCGCTCCCGAGAGCTTCACATCACGGCTTCCGAAGCCTCTCGTCTTCTGCGTCGGCGAATTCGTCGTTCCCGTGTTAAGGGGGGGGATTCGCGTCGACTTTGCATAATCATTAGAGCGCGACGACGAATTCGATCTGTCAATAGCTAACACGGCTTATCATAATAATACGTTCCGGCGACGACGACGATGACGATGACACGAAGTGTACGGAACGGGCTTACTATTAATTCGCGCAAATTCCACCGGGAACGGCTGAAACAACCGTGCCCGCGCTCAGTTCCCGGCGGTGCACGACCGCACGTAATCGGGCCGGAGAGGTTCAAAGGGACTGTCCGCAGATTTTCTAGCATATCGCGGGGCACGCGCTCCCGTTTGTTCGTCCGAGCGGCGGAATTAGCGGTGACACGCGCGGACGGGCGTTTTGGTCGCGCCAACGACGACGGAGAGAGCGGAGATTTATTAGCCGGCGAACAAACCCGCAGGGAGAGAGAGAGAGAGAGAGAGGATATACACACATATATATGTATATATTTATATACATATACATACAGACACACAGAAAGGGAGAGACAGAGGGCTGACCGCGCACGGGAGTGACGTCTGAATCATTCAGGACGTGGTTCAATAATGTAGAAACTGGCGGCACTGCCGCGGGAATTCGGGTCAGATTCCCGAAACGGACGCGACCTGACCCCAGAACGCGCGCTCTGAAGAGATTCAAAAACCGAGAGAGAGAGAGAGAGAGAGAGAGAAAGCACGAACGACAGACAGAACGAAAAGGAAGGAAAGAAGCTAACGGCTTCCTCCGCGCGAAAGGCGCGCTCGCGATCTGAGTGGCGAGGCAGTAACGCGAGCACAGAAAGACGAAGGCACGCACGCGGCAGCCCAGCCGGCAGGCAGGCAGGTAGACAGCGAGTATACGCCTTTGCGCGTTTCGTAAGGACTACGATCTCGTAATCTTCAGCTGGGTAAAGGTTCGACCACCTCCGACACTGACTGAGAAAGGCACGGCAAGGTCCAACGCCGAGAAAGAGAGAGAGAGAGAGAGATATATAGATAATGAAAGGTTCTACTCACTCGGGTAGTGATCGTCCTCGGATATGTCGGCGGGCTCCGGGGTCGAGATGTTCTCCTGCAACAGACAAAGCCACCGTTAGCGTCCCGAAGCGTTTTCCCCGGACTCGACGTTAGCGCGCGATTTAGTTGGCCGAGAGAGGCTCCTCGCCGGGCCGTTGTGGGCGCTGCCAGGCGAGCAGAGTCTCTTTCGCGCGGGGCGATGCGTTGAAAAGTTGGCGAAACTCATTTTCCGCCGGCCGCCGGTTATGATAATAGCGGACGCGATTACGCCGCGTCGCGACGTTACGCGACACGACTCGCGGAGAGGAGACTCTCCTACTCCGGCCGAGCTGCGCGGCTCCCGACCGCGTCGTTTCTCCGCCGAGCGATGCCTTTTAACTCGAAAATTAACGTCGATCGTGTTGAGATCGTCTCCTCGTTCATCGCATTTGTGGGACCCAGCGAATAATTCAACGTACTTTCATTAATAATTTAAGCAAAAATGTGTAACCAGAAGCGTTTCTCTCGCTTCCTTAATTATTATTATTATTATTATTGGATTTCGCACGGGCTACACATAGAGAAAAAGGTTCCTTTGGATTTAGCATGTATGTTTGTTTGATTTGAGTTTCTTCAATATAAACATAATATAACAACATAATTGAATACCAAATATCATTTTGTTAAAATGAAAATGTTGTTTCGTTAGAGTAAACCATACTGTTTGATAAAAAGAAAAAAAAAACAGTATTACGTGCAAGAAATATTTCATTTTCAATAAAAAATATTTTATTACCTACTAAATATTATACCACTGAAACGAGAAAGTTCTTTAATATTTTTCTAACATAGTATTACTTCTTTCAAATAAATGACTGCTTGTGACAATTGTAATGTTTGAGCGAAAATACGAAAAGAAATGCGCCATTTGACGTAAAGACATTTGTTTGAGAAACTGAAACAATTCTGTTTGTTGAATCAAACATTCGTATGTTCGCCCTATTCGAAAAGACAAATTTGTTATATCAGGAAATGTTCTTAAATCCGAAGAAATCTGTTCCTCCGTGTACGCAACGGCATTCGCGTTCGATCGATTATTCAACCATCACCCGACGCGCATTCCTATCGGCTTCAAGGAAGAACACAAGAAGAAGAAAATTGCAGAGGAATCGCAGAGATCCGCGCGGTGCGTCGCGTCACCGGCACGTAAGAGGTGTCGTTAAGAAGAAGCTATCGAAGGCTGTCCGTGTTACCATACGCCCACGGGAAGACCGTGGACTTTATTGTCCCAGATCAAGAGCCCGCGGCGACTCGCGATTCGTCGAAACGCAAATTGCTTACGCCTCGGCGCTGCGCCGCGGCGAAGGTGACGCGCGTCTCCGGGTCGGTAACGTGTGCGAGCACCGTCGTCCCTCGGCCCTTGCAGCAGCGCGATCAAACCGTCTCCTGCTTGCTCACTTCGTGTATGTAGAGCTCTTTTCTAAACATAACTCCCGCGAAATCAGATCGCCGATCGCGACGCGGATAAACAATTCCCTCCCGCTCGTGGAGTTAATCGAAGTGCGCGCGACCGGCCCCGATGTAAAATCTCGTAACGTGAACGAGCGCGACAAAGCCGATCGTCAACTAACACGTTGGCTGCCACAGTGGTCTCCATTGATTTCTTCGACGTTCAATCGGAGTTTGAATCGCCGGAAACACGGTAAATAAAAACAACTCGCGTACGTTCGCCAATTCGCCTCATTGACTTCTCTGTTGGCTATATATACACGGAAACACAAAAAGATTAGCTTCAGTAGCTAAATTCGTTGTAATAGACGACACCGGAAACTTTAGCAGCGTGAGCAATTTTAATTGCTGCGGTAGCAAACTCTTTTGATGCTGCAGCAATTAAAATTGCTCACGCTTCTGAAGTTTTACGCGTCCGCATGTTACGACTAATTTAGCTACTGCAGCCAATCTGATTTTTTCTTTATTTCACCCTTTAATGGCGAGGTGGATTATCAGAACGTCGGAGAATTTCCCAAAGTGTTTTACCGCGACTACTTGAAGTCAGTAAATTTTATTGTATTTCTTTTTTCTCCATCTTATTAAAACAAACAGAAGAAGAAGTTTCATGTTATTATTGACTTCTCTCGCCCATTTTGTACATTAATTAGATGAAAAATGAAGAGAACAGAGCACGGGCGCGACCTTACCATTGGAGGGTTAATTTTACACACGATTTATGCGTTACGCTTTATACGTCCATCAGTGAGACTTGTGTGGTGATATAACACCGATTCCACACACACGTACACGCACACACCGCTGACCACCATGGCAGTGAACGTGCTAACAATACCCCCGACGCGGTCTCGTCGTGTCTTCGTGTACCGTCCCGACACACCTTTCGCGAGCTACATTTCGCTGGGCATTTTTCCGAGCACGAACCGACCGACGATACGTTAAAACCGCGGCACGAAAACGCTTTCCCACACCGCTCGGCCGAAAAACCGTCCTCTTTTACGGCCACCGTCCGAGATGGAGTGGTCAGGGTCGGGGGGGAATAAGGCCGAGGCTCTCTCGTCGCGAGAGTAGGATCGCCTACCTATATGGCCGGCTCGTTTTTCATCCGCGCCCGCGGAAAGAGCAGCGAGAGCGAAGCGTGCGCGCGCGCTCCTTCTCCGCCGTGATATGGCATCGCGCTCTAATCGATCCGCGCGAGACCGATCTTCGAGGCTAGCGACGCGCGATTCTATCTCGCTTTGATTGATTTTATCCCGGCGAAATTAACGGGTTTTCCCCACTGAAACGAAGCAACGGACGGACGGTCGACCAGCCGGCAGTTTCGCAAGACGTGCACTACCGAGCCGAGCGATGCCTGGACCGACTGGTTGCGCTGCAGCGGGCGCAGCGGCAGCCTCTCCTATCTGTGTCAGGTCTCGTGTTGCAACTCCAGAAGGTCGACCGGTATACAACGCGGAGAGCACGGCCAATTGATACCGGCCACAACTTTGTCCAGCGGGCTTGTAGGACATAGGCGACGTGCGAGAGCGAGCGTGCGAGAGCTCACGTATATGTGTGTATGGATGCGAGAGCCGCGAGCGCGCGTTCTCTGTGTTTTTGCGTGCGTGTGTACGCGCGCGAACGAGCCGCAAAAACTCCTCCTGATGATGTAACCGAGAAATTCCGACGGACGACGACGAGCCGGAGAGCGCGGACGAACGGTGGAAATCGCGAGAGAGGCGAGGGAGAGATCCAATCGCGGCGAAATGTCGCGCCGAGCGCGTTCTTCTTCTCTTTTTCTCCTCTCTCTCTCTCTCTCTCTCTCTCGTTTTGTCTTGTTTCCCTTTTCCTCCTCCTTTTTCCCCCTCACTCTTCTCTTTCCTCTTTCACTCGCGAGAATCGCCTTTTGTGATTTTTTCCGCTGATTTTTTTTTTCATGTTTGTAAAGTGCAAAAAGGAAGTCTGTTCTCCACTCGGTACGGCGATGTGTATTTTATACGACGCGCGCTGGCGGTCTCTCCGCGGTTACGTTAGGAACGACGATTGATCGAACGTCTCTCTCTCTCTCTCTCTCTCTTCCTCTCTCTTTTTCCCGCGTGAATTTGCGCGTCGGTCTTATCTATGTTGAACTAGAGATAGGTTTTCGTTTACGTATCGGCGATCGTTTATCGGATACTCCGATGTGCAGTCGTTAGTTACACATATGAATCAGCGAGTCGTACCTCTTATCCGAGTGCAAGTCACTTTCTTTCGCTTCGATATGAGCACGGGAAATCGCGCGTTTTCCACGTCGGGTCTCGCGCGTTCCGATTATATCGCGCAGAATTTTCATCCTCCAACCGTCTCTGGTATCAGCGGACTGTATTTCGCAATCGTCCGGTAACGACGGTACGGCGCGGGGGGTGTTCACGGGGTTCATCGGTATTAGATAGAAGCCGGGCACAGAATCTGTTTAATAATCGGTGGAATTTATTGGCCGGTGCGCGCGTCTCATCCTCCGCTACGCTCTTTCTCTTTCCTGCGCCCGCTCGGGCGCAGCCAGCTAGCTAACTACGCTACACCGTTGACTTCCAGCTGTATACGCGAAAGGTTATTTTAAGAATCTTTCATTAAGAATTTAATATAACCCAATTTTCACGGAACCGGTCGCCGAAGATACGTACTTATCGATCATAATGAATCACCTTTGTGATCCGAGCGCCGAAGAGTTGATCGGCGTATCGAGGGAGAAAAAAGAAGAAATACGAGAACAAAAGAGAGAGAGAGAGAGAGAAGGCAGGTGTGGGACGTGCACAGATAAAAATAAATATAAATCTCTCCCCTCTCTCTCTCTCTCTCTTCAAAGTAAATTAAAAAGATACGAAGATCGACGGGAACTTTTCGCGGATCGGCCGCGTCGAGAAAATACGTAGAACGAAGCCGAACGATCTAATCTCCGACTCAGCAATCCGCGGAATCGTCTTGCCGCCGCGTGTCCCGGAGGTCTCGATCTCGCTGCTCGGCCAGGCACACCATCAAGGTGTCTGCCATTAAAGATAATCGACGGCGGGTTACCTTCTGGGAAGGAGTCGATCGGCGTCGCGCGAACGGCCCGAGCCGCGGCGATATTCTTGTAATTGATATCGTCGATACGATCGTAACAAGTTATCCTATGCGCTGGGATATCTGCGAATTGTTGCGTTTAATTTACAACAAGGACGCGGTGTTGGCGAGCGAGCGAGCGATACGGGAAGTATCGCGGAACTCGGCGAACGGTACTCGAATAACACATCGCGGTCATACATGTATATATATATATATATACACACACACACACACACACACACGTATATGTGTACGTACGTGTGTCTCTTTCTTTCTCTCTTTCTCCTCCGCTCGGAGTATCCGATTTTCATTTTCCCTCGTTTCACGCGCGAGGCGAATCAAAGTGCCGTGATGAAATAAGAATTTCGAAGCGGAGGTCTCCGGAGGAAGACGACGACGTTTCCTGACGGAATGATCGATAAACGACGAGATGGAATCTCCCGCGAAGCGGCGCCGCGTCAGACACGCGCGGATCGACGCGGCGGGATTATTTTCGCGCGTGTG